ACACACGCCGGTATCTTCTAACATATGTCCTTGGCTTCGATTGCCAACTACAAAGCTGTCACATTTCGCCATACCATAAGATGACATCATGATCCTTTCTATTTATCAAAAGGTGCACATTATCGAGTCAAATAAAGAATTCATCGTTATAAGCCTTTCCGACATCTCCAAATCCAAATGGAACTGGATTCGGAGATGTCGGAACGGCTTATAACGATGAGTCCTTTATCGGACTCGAACGAGTGCACCTTCTGACAAATAGAAAGACTCATGAGATTACTTTTCACATCCCGCCACTTCTCGAAGTGGCGTAGCAGTGACCAAAATAACTATTGGATAACTGACTGCAGAGCACTCGTCCTCCTGGTTTTCTGGGAGATAACAAAATTGGAATTAAAACTAAGTTTCAAATTAAAAACACTTCAAACGGCTATTACTTCTTCCAATTCGAGGGAGCAGAGAAAAGGACCACCGGCTGGATAATTTCTTTTATTTTTGGGTTGAAGCAAACGTTCGTTTTAGAGAGTCACTGGAAGAATTCCAACTGATGCTCCGAGACTCATGGCGCCAGCTTTTTAAAGCATCATCGAGCTTGAGGTTGAGCTTTCAGCTTGATCTTGAGGGTTTCTGATAAGAAGATCGGACTTAATGCAAACGTTATTGACGGAATACGGACTATGAGCAAACATCTAATAAAAAGTCAAAATATTCCACAGGCATACATATATTCCGCGGACGGATGTGATGTCAAAAGTCAGAAAACATTTGATTAGAAACATGAATTGGTTTATATTCTTCTTGGTGTTATCTCCTGTGCATATACGTTTAATATACGTATATATATATGTATAGACTTAAGGAATTAGTTTTTAAATGTTTTTTAATGACGTAAAAGTCGTTTTATCTTTGGCAACTGCATACAGTTACATGTTTTGAAAATAAGAACTTCTCTTGTTAGAAGAGCCCCAAAAATTATTGGTTTTACTCCTATGAGTTCGGTTTTAAAAATAATTTTATTTCATATAAATATTTTACGTGAAAAATTTATGAAAACTATTTATCAGTTAGACCAACCAGTGTGTATCCCTTTAGGAATGTCACTTGGTGGTGAAAATCTATCTTTACAATTTTAATTACACTGTTTTCAATTCTTAAATCATCACTGTTGGGGGCAGTCCACGGGTGGCGAACCGCAAGCCTTACCATGCGCTAGGACTTAGATCATTTTTGTTAAGGCATTTGCCAATTCAGTTTGGTAGAATCTTGCGTAAAAGTAAAAGGATTTTAATTCACTTAATTTTGACTATGGTGGACCTGGGAGTCTCCAAGTAAAATATTTTTATTAAACAACATTCTTATTTTCAATACGGGTCGTTTGAAACAATCATCCGCAATCAGCAATTCGACAATCGGTATTAAAGTTTTGAAGAAATCTGCATTTTTTTTTTATTTTTTATTTATTTTTTTTACTTTAAGAAGCTAATCCTTTAAATTGACTCCAACGATTTAAATAATTTTACATTTGAATATAGCTTTTGAGATGTCCCAACATTTGATATGTCGTTAATTTTTGGGATGATGCGCTAACTGAAGATATAGTCATATTATAGTAAGTGGAGCTACCAATTTTGTGCAGCCACCTGTGAACAGCTGTGAAACTTGGTTCCAATTACACACATGTGTATGTATATATATATATAGGTAAGTACGTATGGATTGAACATTTTGTGTTTTGGAGATTAGTTTTATAGTTTTATCAGTTTTCGGCTCCGCCCGAAGTTAGCTTTCCTTTCTTGTTAATGTGTACTTTTATATACTGCTCTATTCCTTTTTTTCTTCACATAAGAAATATTTATTTGATTTACATCGTTTTCAATTCGTGAACACTCTTATAATTAACCGATTTGGCTGAACTTTGGATTTTGGGTATAGATTAGCTATTTCAATAGTTTTGGCATCAAAACATTTCCCAAAAACTTTAATGAATTGGCGCTATGACAAGGTTTCTGTTTTGATATCGGGAGTGGGCTTTGCAAAATTTGTATACAAGCTTGATCTGTGTGGATACCATAGGAGTCCTATGGTATCTAAAAGGCGTACAGTTTAGAATGAAAAAAAAAATGTACATATTTGTTGAGCAAAAAACATAAATACAATTATTATTATTTTAAAATGTTAATAAATGTAATAATTGGCAGATTAAATGCTATTAAAATTCCCACAAAGATGATATGATTTAATAAGCCGGTTACACAATTAAACATAAGGCTGCTAATTGTTTATTGGCGAAATGTATTAAACGTATTTTCTGAAGTGAAATAAAAATGTGTTTGCAAATCGATAGAGTAAATAAAAAAAAGTAAGTGTTCTGGCAATGAATGGCTCAAATAATAGAGTTGAAACAGGCTTATAAAAACTATAGAATTCATGGAATATAAAATGATAAATTGGGATAACAGCCCAAAGACACGTATTAATATTCATTCGACTTCTGTGGCCTTGGCTAATTTAAAGCTATGTATTTATAAAGTATATGGAAAACCAATAGAGGCTTAAAGTCTGATATGGGCAAGGAGCACGGCTTTCTATTTTCGCCATGTCTCTGGGCATAATATGTTAAGTGCTCCAATGGAACCGACACACCCACCTCCTCCTAAGGCAAGGAAGTGTGGGAATTGTAATCAAAGTTTTCCGGCGGAGTGGTAGTCCGAGTCCGATAATAAATGGCCGTTTGGCGGTTCCCGGGAAAAAGCAGCTGAAACGGGCGATTAATTCATTATTCAGTCGCACTCGCAATGGCCTCTGTCCTCATTATGAATTCACAATATATTTGTATCTGTTGCTTGTTCTTAGTGGAGAATCATCATCATTATCATCATTATGGTATCCTATCATTAAACGTTAATATCGTGCTGTCGGAATTGCATTAACCGCGCCTCAATTCCCGGCAATCATTTCGCCATCAAGTTTTTAAAACAACAAACCCCGGCCTTAACAAATGCAAATACAATAATTAAAATTAATTAAAACCCCAAAGTAAATAAATAAATGGACTCGGCTGTTTCATTTTCAACTCAGCCCGGTCCAGTACAGTTTCATTATTTTTTTGCCACTTGGACTTGCAACTTTAATTAATGTTGCAGCATTATTTATATGCCCTGACAAAAAGTTTGTCTTTGGCGGCGGCCTTTCGAAAACTCCAAATTGAATTCATCAATTTGCGACAAGGCGCTGGTATTTCCCGAACATTTTGCCACTTGAACCAATGATCACAGGCCTCGCCTCGGGGCTGAATGTTAGAAGCCAGTTCATTTGCCACTCGGAGTCAATTTCGGGAGACGCCACCTGTTGTGGCCACAAAGGAAAACGCAAAAATAAGGACGAAACGGTTAAAAATTCGCGCTACTCTGGTTTCACTTTATGGCTCCTCGAGTGCCTCCCCTGAGTGATTTATAAACTTCAAACTTTCCCTCCAAAAAAAATACCAAAAAAAAGAAGAGAAAAAAGGATAAACAAAAACAAAACACCGGAGAGTCCTTAAATAATGAGCCAAAGGTGTAAGCAGGTGAAATCCAGCGGCAACGGAGCTTCGCTAATTAAGTTGACAAATGTGGCCTTTCTCAGCTTTTGTTCTCTTTGTTTTTGGTCCTTGGTCCTTGCTCGTAGCCTTTTGTTCCCCCACATCCTTTATCCTTTTCCTTTATGCTTAGTGCTGGGAAAACACTGATTATGGCCACGACTTCCCCCTGGGAAACATGCAAATTATTTAGCCAACGACTGTTGGCGCCACTGATTGCCAAACATTGCAGGACTTAATCATCCCGTCAGCCCCGAAATGTATGCTACACAAGGTCAGGAGCGGATCCTGATGGATTTTTCTCTGGTCCTCGTTCCTATCCCCGTTCCCCCCATTGCGTTAACTTAAACAATGTGGATTTATTGGCTTTTCGAATATATCAATCTAGCTATTCTAGATTAACTTTCTTATTGTAGTCCTTTTGGCAACTTGTGGGCTACAATTCACTAATATTTTAAATCAAAAGACAATTTTATTTGTTTTTGAATTGTTGTAAAAATATTTGTAAGCATTTGTTCCTTAAGTTTTATATAATTCCATCTATTTCGTAAATTCCTATCATTTAAAAATAAATTTATAAAAAACATGAATATTTTTCTTTATTTTATTTTATTTAATTATTCCTTTAAATATTTATGATTTTTAGTATGATTTTTTAATAGTATTTTATTTTCATTTTTTGTTTCCCAATGCAACGATGATTGGTTCGGAAAGTTAATCACTCATACGCAGTGTTGTCATCGCTTTATTTTTTCCTTTCATACACTTTGCATTGAATGCGCTTCAGTTTGGCAGCTTTTTAAATAGTTCCTTTTTCATGCTCTTATGGCGGATTATTATTTAAGCCGATGCATGTGTTTAAATAGCACAACCAATTTCAACTGTCACATGGGGCGTATGAACAATTTTTGGTCGCTAATTTTAAATGATTTCGATAGCAATGCAATTTTGAATTAAAAAATGTTTGAAAATAAAGCCTCTTTACATAAGCGGCTATTAGTTTCATTAGTAAAGTAGCCTTTAATATTAAAACACATTAGTTTGAGTCAAAATCCTGCCCTGTGTGGGAAAATGCTGGAAAAACAATAATAATTATGGGATTCCATTAGCTGCAGCTTTCGTTATAATAGAGGCTATACAAATATTATCAATTTTGCTCCAGCAACAAGTCCTTTGGCAACATGTTGCTGGGCAGGCAGCCGTGTGGTGAGTTTCGGGCATCCTGCCGCCTGATGGGCGGCATCGACATGTTGCGGTGCTGCCACCGGAGGCAGCAAGTCGCCGACGAGTGTCAGTGCTTCGCTTGGACTGCGAGGCGCGACACACAACGCGGAACGTGGCCTCCTCCGTGCTCCTCCGACATCGACTTGACCCGCATTTTCATTTTTTTTTTATTGTTGCGTGCTTGACGAAGTGCCGCGAGTGGCTGGCCCCAAAATAATTCGAGATCACGAAGCCCCAGAAACGGCCTCACAATGGGCGCTTTTGACTCTATCCTGCGCCGGGTGCTACTGGCACTGGCTCCGCTGGTCAGCGCGGATGCCATTTTGCGGCTCAACGACACCACCACCTCGATCCTCGGCGACGATCTGCTCAACTACACCGGTCTGGAACTGGACGTGGGCCTCGAGATGGACGTGAAGGTGGACCTGGAGCCAAAACTGGAAGTGACCACCGTGAAGACAAGTCCGGGCCGGCCGAGGGTCAGTGCCGACGTGCCCATTTGGGTGGTGCCCTGTTACTCGGCCATCCTGCTCTGCGCCGTCGTGGGCAATCTGCTGGTGGTGCTCACCCTGGTCCAGAACCGTCGCATGCGCACCATCACCAACGTCTTCCTCCTCAACCTGGCCATCTCGGATATCCTGCTGGGCGTCTTCTGCATGCCTGTGACCCTAGTGGGCACCCTCCTCCGCCACTTTATCTTCGGCGAGGTCCTCTGCAAGCTCATCCAGTTTGCCCAGGGTAAGTCATGCCTTGGGGACAAGACTTAGTTGTAGCTTCAACATTAAACTCAGCTCCCAGGTAGGTCTGTACATTCATGTCAGGCCCGTGTATAAATTAAAAGGTTATTCAAGCTCCAACCTGTATAGTCCCTCAATCATTCAGTCATTCGCGCCGAGACCAGCCTTGTAGCCGAGGCCGAGTCCTTGTCGTCCTTTCATTTAACCATCCACTCAAAAAAAAACCAAAAAGCGGGAGGTTCCATCCAACCCCAACTTCACACATTGGTCAAATGGCTCCCAATTTTGATCTGGAACGTGTCCGGCAGGAAATAGTGTTGGCCAACATCCAGGAGCTACTTCAGAAGATGACACGGCGATGCTTCAGCGACTGTGTCGGTGTTCCGGGCCTGGAGCTGCGATCCGAGGAGCGGGAGTGCTTGGACAACTGCATGGACCGGTTCATGGACGCGGTCCAGGTGGTATCCCGTCAGTACTTTCGTCGCCGCCGCCGTCAGCAACAACAGCCGCTCCGCCCCAGCCGATCAACTGCCACGGCACCTGGAGCAGGCAGTTCATTCTCCGTCCCAGCAACGGCATCCGCATCAGCATCCTCGTCAGCATCTTCATCGGCATCAACATCCGCTTGTAAATCCTCGAGCTCATACGTACCACTCGACAAGAAGGGCAAGTCCTCGCCAGTTCCCACATCCCATTCCTCGGAGTAGTTGTCGAGTCGTAACAGTAGTTTCTATGATGTCCTCTGCCATGGCGCGTTGGGTTCACTCATCCCAAAAAGCGGTGACCCCGAGCGGAGTTTGTGAAAGGCCCCTCGGCGGTTACTTTAAAATCCTAGTGATATCATGGAATTCGGAGTCACATAGAGGGCTTTTTCTTTAAAAAAAATATAAAATTCAAGGCTATAGTGTGATATAGCGTTTTTGTTAAGTGTTATTCAGGCTAGTTGCGACTTTAGCATGTCCAGTTAGTAATACTGCTTAAGAGCAGTATTTGATGTTGTACTATTTAGTAGATTCAAATTAAGCAGCTTTAATGTTCATATTTCATAAGAAGTTCATTAAGTTTATGTTTAAACTCTCATTCAAAAACGATTGCTTATTAATTGACTTTTCATAAAGTGACAAATACTCGGGTTATCCCCTCACAAAATGCCCCTTCAATGCACTATAATCTTGCACTTAAAGAGCTATGGGAGATAACATAAAGTTCCCAGGATGGCAGGACATGTTCCGGCCATAACTTGCAGATGACCATACTTAGTATTTTGATTGTGCACTTGCCACTCGAGGCAAGTGGTGTGTCTTCAATCGATTTTACGCACAATTTCCGCGCTTATTTATGGCCTAAATCATATTTCCCGTCATAACAAGGACACACACTAGCGGCACTTTCTATCGTATCTGGCAAGGACTTGAGAAAGGACTCGTTCAAGGGTTCAAAAGATTAAATATTCCTCTCACCCAAAAAAAAACCATTTCCTCTGTCTGGTGTTTAAAAGTATTTGAAGCACGCTTGCCCCACATTAATTCAAATCCTTAGATAAGTCTGGAAATCGAAAATGTGTGACCCAAGATATCCTTGAGAAGGACTTTGGTGGTGTGGCTCTGACACCTGTCAGAAGTGCTCATCAGTGTGGGACACTGGTATTAATTTGCTTATTTAATCAGTGTGTGTGTGTGTGTGTGTCAGAGTGTGGGAGTGAGTGTGTGTGCCAAAGGACATTCTAATTATCCTACGGCTTATCCTTGGCCAATTTTCAAATGCACTTGGCATGATGTCTCGGGGAATTGCAAAATTCATGACACAACGTATGCTCCTCCGGGCACTTTAGTGTCTCCTTCTCCACCTACTCGTTCTCCTCGTCCGCCAACGTTAACGCCTCTGCATCCTTTGTGTCCTGCATGCAGCCCTTTGCCACCCGCCAGCCGCCGACCTCCGACCTCTCCGCTTTCAGCCGCCGCCCCCGTCCTCCCTGGAGGACTCGCTTCCGTTTCCTGTGCTAGTGTTGGTAATGCTGTTTGTTTTGCTGCAAGTTTGCCAGAGCCTCCCACGCCATAGCCTTCGTCCTTGCGAATTCATCTTTTTCGGAGTCGTCTCTAACTTATTAACAACATAATAACAATGGCGGGGCAAACAACTTGAGCTGCGAGTCCTCTCCTTTCGGGCCGCACACACGCACGCCAATTTGTTGAGCAAACACTCGGATCCATCGACAAGCCTAGACTCCCACGCATCCACTCGTATCCCGTTAGAACTGTTGCTCCTTTCGTCCTCGTCTTCGTCTCTCGTAAATCTGTAAATGTCATCGCTGGGCGCTGGCCAAGCTGTCGCACCAATTTATGGCCATCATCGAGTCGAGGTGCAGTCCACCTCCTGCTTGCTCCTGCCAGGTCCTTTCATCCAGATATCCTGGACGGCCACACCCACTGATTTATCGTTGTAATTATGCATTTGTGGCTTTTCCTTCGACCTGCATCTACACAGTCCAGTCCACACACACACAAAAATTCAATTTAATAAATACAAAAATGACAATTTGTTATGCACCGATGATTAATGGTCTCAGGACTCCAAAGGACTTGGTCTAGCTAGTGGCCACACAATATGCTAGAATGGGCTTTAAGAATTTAATAAAACTACTCACTTTCTTGCCATTTTAAATTAACTCGTAAAAATGTTAGAATTTTAAGTATTGGATTCAATATGGGAAATGAGTAAACTGAGATAAAAAATAAGAATCAAATTTTAATTGACTAATTTTCTCACTGAACTACAACATGTATTACTTACCGTATTCAGTAGATACAGTTGAATATTAAGGTTAAAAATTGATTTCCTTAATATCTTAACTTTTTCATAAACAAAAAAGGCTTTTATTTTCATATTTTATACGTTATAATCAATATTAAAAATTAATAAATGTTTGTACCATTTTAAAGGCTAGGAATAACATAATTTTTAGAAATATTTATACTTTTAAAAAATCTAATTTAAAAACAAGTACAAGAGGGTTTTTTATTAAAAAATTTGATTAAGTATCATATGAAAGCTATGTGATTTCAAGAATCATTTAGTTTCCCAAAATTAAGCTTCTTATTATTTCTCCAAAATAATGAGAACTTTTTTGAATTTTTCAGTTTTCAAAAAATTTTAATCAATTCCTAAATCAGTTTCATATCAATAAGTACCTTAAATGATTGGTATTGCGATTCTCCATCAATCTGCGTCAAAATCTAGGAACAAATTATTTTTTCGATTTTTTGTCAAATTTTCTGGAGGGTCCCCTACAAAAATGGCGAAAATGCATAAAACCCCAATATGGCCACTTGGGAAGGCCATAACTCAGCGAATAATCATCCGATTCTTCAGCGAAATACCTTAAATGATTGGTATTGCGATTCTCCATCAATCTGCATCAAAATCTAGGCACAAATTATTTTTTCGATTTTTTGTCAAATTTTCTGGAGGGTCCCCTACAAAAATGGCGAAAATGCATAAAACCTCAATATGGCCACTTGGGAAGGCCATAACTCTGCGAATAATCATCCAATTCTTCAGCGAAATACCTTAAATGATTGGTATTGCGATTCTTCATCAATCTGCATCAAAATCTAGGAACAAATTGTTTTTTCGATTTTTTGTCAAATTTTCTGGAGGATTCCCTTCAAAAATGGCGAAAATGCATGAAAGGCCAATATGGCCACTTGGAAAGACCATAACTCTGCGAATAATCATCCGATTCTTCAGCGAAATACCTTAAATGATTGGTATTGCGATTCTCCATCAATCTGCATCAAAATCTAGGAACAAATTATTTTTTCGATTTTTTGTCAAATTTTCTGGAGGATTCCCTCAAAAATGGCGAAAATGCATAAAACCTCAATATGGCCACTTGGGAAGGCCATAACTCTGCGAATAATCATCCAATTCTTCAGCGAAATACCTTAAATGATTGGTATTGCGATTCTTCATCAATCTGCATCAAAATCTAGGAACAAATTGTTTTTTCGATTTTTTGTCAAATTTTCTGGAGGATTCCCTTCAAAAATGGCGAAAATGCATGAAAGGCCAATATGGCCACTTGGAAAGACCATAACTCTGCGAATAATCATCCGATTCTTCAGCAAAATACCTTAAATGATTGGTATTGCGATTCTCCATCAATCTGCATCAAAATCTAGGAACAAATTATTTTTTCGATTTTTTGTCAAATTTTCTGGAGGATTCCAAAAAAAAAAAAAAAAAAATGGCGAAAATGCATAAAACCCCAATATGGCCACTTGGGAAGGCCATAACTCTGCGAATAATCATCCGATTCTTCAGCAAAATACCTTAAATGATTGGTATTGCGATTCTCCATCAATCTGCATCAAAATCTAGGAACAAATTATTTTTTCGATTTTTTGTCAAATTTTCTGGAGGATTCCCTTCAAAAATGGCGAAAATGCATAAAGCCCCAATATGGCCACTTGGAAAGACCATAACTCTGCGAATAATCATCCGATTCTTCAGCAAAATACCTTAAATGATTGGTATTGCGACTCTCCATCAATCTGCATCAAAATCTAGGAACAAATTATTTTTTCGATTTTTTGTCAAATTTTCTGGAGGATTCCCTTCAAAAATGGCGAAAATGCATAAAACCCCAATATGGCCACTTGGGAAGGCCATAACTCTGCGAATAATCATCCGATTCTTCAGCAAAATACCTTAAATGATTGGTATTGCGACTCTCCATCAATCTGCATCAAAATCTAGGAACAAATTATTTTTTCGATTTTTTGTCAAATTTTCTGGAGGATCCCCTTCAAAAATGGCGAAAATGCATGAAAGGCCAATATGGCCACTTGGGAAGACCATAACTCTGCGAATAATCATCCGATTCTCCAACGAAATACCTTAAATGGTTGGTATTGCGATTCTCCATCTCGGATCTGCATCAAAATCTAGGAACAATTTATTTTTTCGATTTTTTGTCAAATTTTCTGGAGGGTCCCCTTAAAAAATGGCGAAAATGCATAAAACCCCAATATGGCCACTTGAGAAGGCCATAACTCTGCAAATAATCATCCGATTCTTCAGCGAAATACCTTAAATGGTTGGTATTGCGATTCTCCATCTCGGATCTGCATCAAAATCTAGGAACAATTTATTTTTTCGATTTTTTGTCAAATTTTCTGGAGGGTCCCCTTAAAAAATGGCGAAAATGCATAAAACCCCAATATGGCCACTTGAGAAGGCCATAACTCTGCAAATAATCATCCGATTCTTCAGCGAAATACCTTAAATGATTGGTATTGTGATTCTCCATCAATCTGCATCAAAATCTAGGAACAAATTATTTTTTCGATTTTTTGTCAAATTTTCTGGAGGATCCCCTTCAAAAATGGCGAAAATGCATGAAAGGCCAATATGGCCACTTGGGAAGACCATAACTCTGCGAATAATCATCCGATTCTCCAACGAAATACCTTAAATGGTTGGTATTGCGATTCTCCATCTCGGATCTGCATCAAAATCTAGGAACAATTTATTTTTTCGATTTTTTGTCAAATTTTCTGGAGGGTCCCCTTAAAAAATGGCGAAAATGCATAAAACCCCAATATGGCCACTTGAGAAGGCCATAACTCTGCAAATAATCATCCGATTCTTCAGCGAAATACCTTAAATGATTGGTATTGTGATTCTCCATCAATCTGATTCTCCAACCCCAATATAGCCACTTGGGAAGGCCATAAC